TTTTTGTGTGAAGGATGGCGTAGTAACCTTCTTCTTCATTTATCACTTTGAGTTATTTTAGTTTCCATGTGTCACTCTAATAGAGTAACATTGAGATGGATTATCTTTCTGTTTTGTATTCTTATGAGAGTTGTTGAATATTTCTTTTATAAGTTGAAGTGAAGTTTATTTTTATTCATGAGACAAATGAAATTGATTTATTACTATTTGTTTCCATTGTCTTAATATGTTAATTGAGGAAGTTGTTTCATGCTAAGAAAATGTGACACCCTATGATTGAGTGAATTATCCACATGTTTTTATTTAAATAAGTGTTTAGGGTTTAGGGTATTACATTTGTCATCCTAACCATCCACCTTTAGAGTTTTTGCCTCTACATCCTCAACAACCGCATCATCGGCCCCATCAGATAGATCTCTACCCCTTCTAGCCTTACATCCTTTATGCTGCAACCTACGGTTACCCGAGACTGGTCGATCTTCCTCTTGTGAGAACTGGTCGGAACTATTCTACCCACAAGGTTATGGGAGCCCTATTTGTATCCGCCTCCATGAGAGCTCTCTGTAACTGGTCTCTCTGATTTATCACCAAGACAAAATTGTGTCGTCTTTGCCTCTAGTCCTCACTACAGTATAAAATAAAAAATTATGAACTAGCGACAATTTTAAGAATTCAGAACTTACATGGTTTACCGACAATTTTAAAAAATGTGGGAACCAAAAATCTCTTATACCGTTTTTTTTTTGTGAAAGTGCCAGTACATTTGCATGCATTTTTACTTGACTTTTTAAAATCACCACTAAAAATGCATGTTGGATACCAGATTTTTCAAAAAATGCGGTAAAAGTGCATGGGAGAAATATGGGTTTTTACCTGACTTTTTAAAATCACTACTAAAAATGCATGTTGGGTACCAGATTTTTCAAAAAATACGGTAAAAGTGCATGGGAGAAATATGGGTTTTACCTCACATTTCAAAAATGTCGGTAAAAATGAATGGTTTTAACAAAATATGATGATATAAAACTTAAATTGTTGGTACAAACATAACTTGTAAAAAATCGGTAGTTAGCTTGAAATGTCTAGTAAATCGCATAGCTTTTCAAAAAATTAAAATATGGCAATGAAAATGTCGAAATGGTTTTTTTAAATGAAAGGATAATATTGTAAACGCACGATAGTGGAGGATGCCAGGTCAAATTTTAGGGGGGTGGCAGGATAAATCTCGAAAAACAACAACCTCGAATAAAGCCTTAATAGTTGTCCCTCATGCCAACACTATGAACTCAATTTCACTTTTTAAAAACTAATACATATTACAACACAAATAATTTTGTAAAATATTGAGTTACAGTTAAGAGTCTTATATCGAACAATATGTGGACTAAACATGTGCTTATAAATGAGGGGCAATCATCATCCTACAAGCCAATATTGTATGTTTGAGTTAGACTAACCATATTTATTAATAAGGTATCAAAGCCTCATTGAAGTTTTATTGGGTCACTTGGTATCAGATTTCCGCGACCATGCCACACATTATTTATTCTCAAGCTTCATATGTCTAGTCTTGGGCGTGACGGAGTGTGTTAAGAGTCTCACGTCGAATAAAATATGGCTTAAACATGTGTTTATAAGTGGATGGAATCCTTAACTTATAAATCAGTATTGTATGGATGAGTTAGGCTCAATCCAAATCCTCATATTGTACTAGAGTCTATCATAGATCTGTTGTTGGACTTCCCGCATCGGCCACGCTTCAAGATCACTGAGACCTAAGCATGAATGGGGTATGTTAAGAGTTATACATTGGATAATATATGTCCTAAACATGTACTTATAAGTGGATGCAATCCTCACCTTACAAGCCAATTTTTTATAGTTGAGGTAGGCTAACCACATTTCTTAACATTGTATCAGAACCTCGTTTAAGATTCATTAGGCCATCTACTACCAGTTTTCCGTTATCAAACTACCCACCATTTATGTTCATGCTCTAGATGTTCAGTCTTATGCGTGATAGGGTATTTCGTTTGGCCACCTACTATCAAATTTTCGCTATCAAGCCACCCAACATTTATGTCCACGCTCTATATGTTTAGTCCTTGATGTGAAGGGGTGTGTTAAGAGTCTCACATCAGATAATATATGTCTTGAACATGTGTTCATAATTGGGGTCAGTCATCACCTTACAGTTTTGTAAGGTTGAATTAAGTCAACCACAATTCTTAACACTTACATTTACCAAAATTTTGTCATGTTTTAAAACTAAAGTCGTAGACTCAAAATTAAGAGCGTGCCAATTTTTTTAGGGTTTTTAATAAAAAATATCACTACACACAAATAGCCAAAGAGGAACTTATCAATTTCTTTAGAGTTTTTTTTGCTAAAGAGGGACTGATTTTCCCTGTAAGTCAATGAATCATTCAATTCATGACAATCATAAGTTGAAAGTTCATATTCTTCAATCATTGATAAACAATTTATTGGACAATACTCAATACAATTACCACAAAAAATACAGATTTTGAAATGAATATTGTAATTTAGCAAATGTTTCTTTTGAATATTTGTTTCAATTTTCCAATCAACAACGGGTAGATCTATATGACATACATGAACACATACTTCACAAGTAATGCATTTATCAAATTCAAAATGGATTGTGATTTATTTTTCATAAGGATATTGAATAGGTACATATAAACGATTTATGTGAGAAAAGATAATCAAAAATTTTGACCAATGTATCTTACAGCTCAGATTGTTTGTTGACCATATTCATGTGTTCAATTACCATAAGGAACGTGAATATCTATAAATAGTTTTATTTTATTTCTTTCTCTAATTTGAAACAAGTAACGAATATAGAAGACCCATCTTTTACCGTGAAAACAATTGAGACGAAGTTGTTAATAATAAATTGCTGAGAAAAATAGACAAAACAAATTTCCATTCAAAATTTAATAAGTGATTCATTCTTAGTCTAGGCAAAGACCATCTTATTATGATATAAACAAATAAGAAAGAGTAGCTTTTAGCTAATAGAAAAGATCAATTATAGTCTTAAAAACTCCTTATATTTTATTTATTTCAAAAAATTCAAAAACAAATATGCACGAAATTGAGATATTTGAACCGCCCAAGTGAACAACTCTTACAAATAATAAAGAAATTAAAAGGTTTAAATAAGAAGCAGCGTAAAATAAATCAAATCTAATACATGGATATTTTGTTTGACAACTGACTACTAATTATTCTTTTGCTTCTCATAAATAAAAAAAATAATCTTTCACATTCTACTCGCGAAAGAATTAGAAAAACAATTAAACCCATAGGTTGACGCCACAAATCCCAACCCTAAAAATCATATTGTGTGTAAACTATATGAACTGCGGCTGATCTTAGCTGAAACGCAGCCTCACCATCAAGGCCATGATTCTTGCATTTGGTGGCGGCACCCACAAGGCTTCTCGGTTAAAAATGCTTATTTAAGGCTGATTTCCTTGCAAGGAGTAAGGTTGGCATCAAATCCTTCAACTTCTAGTTTGTTGATAAAAATTTGGAACACTTCTGTACCTTCTAGCATAAAATTCTTTGGTTGGAGAGTTGCTCTAGATCGCCTTTCAACGCGGTATCAGTTGTGGAAAAGAGGTATGATTAACTCTAATGGTTTAATTTGCCCTCTTTGTCGGGAAGAAGAAGAAACTGTGTGTCACTTATTCTTTGTCGGATCTCCGTTCATGTTTGGTCTATAGTTTTTGCTTGGTTGGGAATTCAACCCCCTGATATGAACTCAATTTTGGACAGCATGAAAATTATAAACTCTGCTCTAACAGGATCTGTGGAGAAAACTTTTCGGTGTAGAATTTGGTTTGCAATTTTTTGGTCTATTTGGAGGATTCGAAACAACATTATTTTTAGAGAAATATTAAATTTCCAATCATTATTGTATCAGATTCAATCTCTCTTAGAGGATTGGAGAGAACTTGGTTAGTTTTCTGTCCTCAGTTTGGGTTTCTGTTTTCTTTCCCTCTTTATTCTAAAAACTATACTTAAACTATAAGATAATCCTTGTTAGATCGATGAAAACATTATTGTTATCATCTCTATTACATAACCATACATGATATTTTCACCTCATACGGCTTCACACATTTAGAATATTAGCCATCTTTTGATCAAAATTAGATGGTAGAGATTTAAATTTGATATTTAAAATTATAAAACAAAAATTAAAATATATATTTTATTGAACTATCCGATCTTGATTGACCTGTCAATAACAACTTGAATGCGTGCATTTTACAACTATGGATTCAATTTTGCCTAAAAATCTACTAAAAATAAAAAGTTTAAATCAAGTTAACTGACTTTCATAATTAAAAAAAACCGTAAACTCGTATTAACTGAAGAGTTTAACAACATTGATTGATTGCAAGCATTTCATACCAAATCATTGTGCTAAGGTAAGATACCACTGTCATTTACATTCACTTCACATGGTGTTATGTTTGCTTCAATAGTTACAAAGTCTTTGTTTGTTCTTATGCTTATAGCATTACTGTTGCTAAATTCTTAAGCAAACATCACTTTGAGATCCATAATCCTCAATTTCACAGCTTTTAAACTAACCATAATTCAATAAAAAATTAAAGCCAAAGACATTTGCATTGAAGTGCATCATGGAATAGCACTAAACTGTTTCGTTATTTTTTCACTACTTGCTTTAAAAAGCAAAGGTAATATACAAGTACAGAACAATGCACCAAAGAAGAAAAAAACATAGAAAAATATCCTCCATTAGCTAAATATAAATTAGCATTCTTATATATATATAGCAATTGGACACTGAAAATCCAGTTGAATCTAATGCTCAATTCAAAGAGCAAATCTAAGAGGGTACCATCCCGGTGGGAAAAATGATCAATCATCAATTTATCATACACAATCTAAAAGGGAGAAAAACAAACAGAAAGAACCTTGTTCATTTCTCTATTTCACTCTTCTGGTAGTGAGCGCGGCGAGTCAATCTCCGAAAACATGTCCTGAACTGGTTCAGAAAGCACGCGCAGTAATGTAGGCTCGGCAGGTGTTAATGACAATGCTGAGGAAGTAGCTGATTCAGCGGCCATCAGATTCTGTAATCCGGGTTTCAATTCTTCGTTACAGAATCTCTCGTATTCGACCCTGTCGCCTCCTTTTTTCTTCACCTCAACAATAACCAAAGAAGGGGTCAGTTCAAATATCTCAACAGCAATGGTCAATGGTCCCTTCACACCTTCTCTTGTACCCTCCAAGCTAACCCTGCAATCCTTCTTCCTTACAGAAAATCTAACCAACTGAGCAATCTCTTCCAGTTTCGATATGATCCTCGAGACCGGTGCAGCAGTCACAATCCTGTTCTCATCTCCTATTTCCTCGAACAATCCAGAAAGATCAAACCCCGCGGAGAATGAAATAATGTCAAAAGCATTCAAACTAGCAGGTCTTGGTAAAGGAGCATTTTTCCTCCTAGTCTCAATCTCAGAATCAGATTCTATTGAGTAATCAGAAAACGATGCAACAGACACAGCAGATGTTATCGAAGCTGAATCATCCTCAACTTCACCAAAATTATCATCAATATTACAAAGCCTATCATCTTCAACATAAAACTTAATCTGTTTGAACCCCTTTTTGAACCACCTATTCTCCATAATATCAGGAATAGCAATCCTTGTTTCAGGCTTTGTATCAAGAAGACGAATAAGGAGTTTCGATAAATCCGGCGAAAACCACCTCGGACACCTGAACTCCCCCTTGTAAATCTTCTTATACATAGCCATAACATTCTGATCATGAAATGGTAAATAACCAGCCATCAAAACAAACAAAACAACCCCACAAGACCAAAGATCAACCTTAGCACCATCATACCCCTTCCTAGCCAAAACCTCAGGTGCAACATAAGCAGGAGTACCGCAAAAAGTATGAAACAAACCATCCTGTCTAATCTGATCAGAAACAGCACTCAAACCAAAATCAGACACTTTCAAATTACCATTCTCATCAAGCAACAGATTCTCTGGCTTAAGATCCCTATGATAAACACCTCTAGCATGACAAAACCCAACCGCGGAAATCAACTGCTGAAAATACTTTCTAGCCACCTCTTCTTTCAACCTCCCCTTCGCAACCTTATTAAAAAGCTCGCCTCCACGAACATACTCCATCACAAAATAAATCTTTGTTTTCGTAGCCATTACCTCAAACAGTTGGACGATGTTAGGATGACGAACGCGGCGAAGAATCGAGATCTCGCGTTTAATGTGTGCGACCAAACCACCTTTCAGAATTTTCTCCTTGTCGATCACTTTTATAGCTACGCCTTCACCGGTTTTGAGATTCTTGGCGTAGTAAACCTTGGCGAATGTTCCATGGCCTAGAAGCTTACCGATTTCGAATCGACCCAATAACAGATTAGAGGGATCCTTCTTGTTGGTGCTTGGGATGGTTTTGAGTTTTTGAGAAAGCACGTCAGCCATGGCTGGGGAAAAAGGAGAATCGAATCGAATCTCAAAATGATGAAAAACGAAAATGAAGGTGTTTTTGTTTTGATTAAGGTGTGAGGTTACGAGGATACGATGTTTTGGTTGGGTAATTGGGAGTGGTGGTGGATGGAGGAGGAACGAGGATGTGGTTTCAATTTATTTGATGTTTTCCATGAGAGAGAGAGAAAGAGAGAGAGTGATTTGTCTCAAATTAAGAGAGAGAGAATGATAAAGATGCTTTTATAAGGGGGAGAGTATATACTACTATTAACTTTTTTTTATTTGTTTATTGTTGAGTAAAATATCATAATTTGTTTTCCGTTTTAGCTATTTTTATATCATGAGTCGATGCCACGTAACCATCAAGTACATTCCTTTTTTTCTTTTTTTCTTTTTCTTGCTTACGGTTGCAACTTTGCAACGATTAAAAAATAAAGTAAGGAAATATTATTATTATTTATTATTATTATTATTATTATTATTATTATTATTATTAATAAGAGCGCGTGAAGGAGGAAAAAAAGGAACTACAATCATGAGTTACTGTCCAGTTGTGTTTATTTCTCTTTTCAAATTGTCTGCAAAGAATGATCTGTAAAATATCAATACACCTCTAATAGTGAGCCGGCGAGATTGTGCAGGAACCAACGTTATTTTCTTTATAAAAAGAATTGATTAGATTTTTTGTTTTTAATCAATCCATAATCAAAATGAACAAATGGGGATTTGAATTGAAATTGTAATATATACACTTGTTTATAATTTTTTAAATATAATCTATAAAATTAATATTCAATTTACTCATCCTTAACATTTTTTAAAAGTTATTAAAATAGTTTTATCAATATTTTTTTATTTAAAAAATTAGAAATATTTGGAGTAATCAAACCTTACCAAATTAACTTGTAAGATTAAGATAAATGATATTACTCTATATAAATCATTTATACTTTCCAGAATGTATGATTTTGGAAATTTTTAATACACTCCCTTACATTCCTCAATTTGTAATATTGAATCTGGTGGATGATATTAACTCATCCTTATAAAAACTATTTTTAAGGTGGGAGATATCATTTTATATAAATTATTTTCAAACTCTATCTCCAAACAATGTATAATTTGAGATATTCCTAACACCCAATCACACATGACACTTTATTGAATTTTGAATTTGGTGCATGGATATAAATAGTGGATATATATTCTTTGATACCATATTAAAATTGACTTTTAAAGTGATGAATGTTATTATGTATAAACATTTTTAAGCTCTATCTCCAATTAATGTGAGATTTGAAATTTTTTCAATAAACATGAGAGAAAGAAATTCATGGAGAATCATTATATATAAAGTTTTCGATAAATATGTTTGATCTCACATATCAATATGTTTGATCTATGAAATACAAATTTTCAAGAAGTAAATGAAGATTATGAATCTTCTAAGATATGATCATGTTAATGACAATAAGAGAATTCGTTTTAACAAGCAAGAAGCATAAACTTGAGATAATCACCATTCCCAAACCATGGATTAAGCCTCTGAGCTCGATCGAAGTGGAAAATAGGATTGAGCTTTGTTTGTGAGCTAGGAGGGGAGGAAAGGGGCTTTGGAGGAAGGAGATTTGGATAGAAAAAATAGAATAAAAAAATGTTATGGGTCAGCTAAAAGCCCAACTAGTTTAGACCCACTTCAACTCAAATCTATTTCATTTGATCTAAGGTATAAAAGTCATTTCACACGAAAAGCAAGGTACATTTTTCTGATATTCACTTTTTACTACATTCATCTTAAATTTGAAATGACTTTGGCGTTTAAGAGCTAACCATGCAGGTCCACCTTGCGCCGTTGTATCAGAGCTCAGCACTAGCGGTTAAGAATTCCTCATCGCCTAATTCAATTATTTCTAGCTATAGCACAGAACAATGGCGTCGTTTCTCAACTTCTAATTCTCGCAAAATTCTACGACCAAATCATTATCAATATAGAATCAAATATCTATCGAAGGCAGAGGAAGTAGCAGCGGTAACTCCGTCGATCATGTTCAAGAGATACATTTCATCCTTCGGTTTAGCCATCCACCGGGTGTCATCGATCGGCGAATTTCACGGTTCCGCGACATCCAACACTTATTTGTCATCAGATTACCTTCTTCTAATGATAGATTATGGCGTTCAAAAAAGTAGAGATCGACCATAACTATAATTTCTAGATCACAAAAAGATCAATGGAATTTCAAACTTCTATTTGCCTCTGATTCTAGCTGTCACCATTGTTGATTGTAACTTGACAGAATTCCTTATGGGTGACAAAATTTCTTGCGACGTCTTCTACACTTACATGTTAAAGCTACTAGGCTTCCAGGAGACATATCTGGATCAATATTATGGGGAAGATCTATTAGCTTTCAATAATTTGTTAACTCACCTTTGGGAATGACAAATCTGACATTGGCGTTTGGCGAAGGTGTAAGCAAAACAAAGGTAATCCTCAGCTTCAATGTAATCCCGTGTAGGAGTACCTTCCGAGGTATCCTAAGGAGATCCTTCTTAGCGAAGCTAGACGCTGTAGTATCTCTGATTCACCTGAAAATAGCCTACCATGACAAAGAAGAAAGGTCGGCCATTATTAGCGCCGACTTAGAAGAGGTAATGCGGATCAAAGAGCTCGTCCAAAAGGACATCCTCACATTGATATTATGATAAGAAGAAGATCTAGGGGATACCAATACGTTTGACCTGGACAGGTGCGAGGAAAAAGTTAGGCTCACTCCGGATGGCAAGTTTGAGTCTATCCAGCTCGGCAATGTTTCTCCTTAGTCGGTAAAGATATGGTTCAGGTTTCCCTTGGCGCAACATATTAGACGAGGATGAAAAATATCTTTTAAGAAGAAATATGAGAAACATTGGAGGTGTATATGGATGACATGGTTGTGAAATCTAGTTGGGAGGAGTTTCACGCTCAACACCTCCAACTGGTGTTTAAAGAGAGTCTGACAGTATAACATGAGACTCAACCCGGAAAAGTGCACCTTTGGGGTAAGAGTCGACAAGTTCTTAGGCTTCTACCTGATTGAGCTATGAATCGAAGCAAACTCTGACAAGTGTGAAGAAGTGATCCAAATGAGTTCACCAACATCAAAATAGGAGGTCCAAAAATTGAACGGTATGTTGAGTGCCCTGAACAAGTTTATTTCAAATTCCACCCAACACGTTTTTCCCTTCTATAAAATTTTGAGAAAAAATAGGGGCTTTGAGTGGCCCCGTACTGCAAAGTGGCGTTTAAATCTATAAAGAAAACCCTGGTTAGGACCTTAGGCCCTTAGTTCTAAGCTGACCGCTTCCAGGGGAAACTTTATACTTGTATGGAGTAGTCACAGAAGAAGTAGTGAGCAGTCTAACAATGAGGAAGGAATATTTTTCCCATGAATCTTCCTCTCATCCTGAGGCGCATGACATAGATACAACGAGTTAGGATACTTGACTGGGCATGGAGAATGATAGAATTGTACCCATAAAGGATCCAAAGGAGGTTTAGATAAGGCCATTGGTTACAAAGTAATAAAGATAGGTACCTCGCTCTCCGAAGAAGAAGAGTGTGAACTAGATAACCAACTCAAAAAGAACAACAACTTGTTCCCATGGGATCCCTCCAACATGTGAGGCATAGATACAAGAGTGGTATGTCATCACCTTGCCGTCGACCCCACTATGAGACTAGTGCATCAAAGAAAGTGAATGGTTTGCAAAAAAGATAGCCACCATAAATGAAGAAGTACATGAGCTAGCAAGTGTCAGCTTCATCACATAAGTAAAATACCCATCCTAGCTAGCCAATGTTGTCTTGGTAAAGAAAGCATCAAACAAGTGGTTCATGTATGTGGATTTCACCGACCTCAAGATAGACTGTCCCACGGACCATTATTCCCTTTCAGATATAGATCTTCGGATTGATGGGTCCTTGAGCTACAAGAATTTGAGTTTCATGGATGCCTATTTGGGATACAATCAAATTAAGATTGATTCCCTTGATGCGTCCAAGACGACATTCATGTCAAACCACGACAAATACTATTATAATGTCATTCCCTTTGGCCTAAAGAATGCAGGCGCCGCCTATCGATGACTCATGGATGCAATGTTCTCCCCACATGTAGGGTGGAGCTTGGAAGTATATATTGATGACATGATAGTAGAAACCTCAAAAATACATAGTCATGAAGGAAACCTAGAGGACGTCCTGGGATCATTCAATAAGTATAACATGCTCCTAAATCTTGCCAAATGCTCTTTTAGGGTGCAGGTGGTAAAGTTCATTGGCTTCATGTTAACCAAGAAGGGCGTTGATGTGGAACCTTATTTTGCACGTGATATGATTTTAACAAGGACATAGACTTTTGATGATGACAATTAATGTCTTTTAAAAAGTCAAGCATAAATGGTTAATCGGATAAAGATGCAAACCTAAGCACTAGGGTTTGATGGACTTGAGTATCCGATGATGGCAATCAAATGGAATGTAACTAAAGCCTCATCTCAAGCTACTCAAGCAAGTGTCTACCAAATAGAAAGCATATGGCAAAGTCTTGAAATGCTAATGACCCTCTTAAATTAGTAGTAAGTGAACCAATTGTAAAGTGAGTGGATAAAGCACGCACGCTCACATACACCCACACATGTAACACCCCCTTTCTATACCCCAAATAAATTAGATAAATCAATTAGGCACATAGAAAATTTATTTCATCAGAGTTTGATTAAAACATGGTATAAAAGAGGCGCATCACATTATCATGAAATTAAACACATACGATACCTGCTCAAAATAGATATGCAACAATGGGTAACCCACATCTCAATATTTAGAATAAAGCGGAAACATATCTCATTCATAAAAGTATATACAACCATCAATTAATTCATGTTTTACAACGTATCCACAAATGATACATACACATATGTATCACAAAAGAATCAAAACAAATGTAACT